CTGGAAGACGGCTTGGTAATTTCAGAAAACCGAATGTATAGCTACTGTTAAGCCCACCAATTACCATCTTGGGCATTAGTGCCACAGAAGTGAAAACTTCACAAAACTTGTAAATAAATGTACATAGCAGCTCTATTTGCAGTAGCTCCATATTAGAAATAGCCCAGATGTTCTTCAGTGGAATGTTTGCTTAGAAGAACATTTGTTCAGTGAATAAAAGAGAGCAAGCTTTTGGTGCACTTACAGTTTTGTGGAATCTCCAGGGAATGACACTGAATAGAAGAGGATTAAAAAAAAAAAAAAAAAGATAAAGCCAGAAGATTCTGTACTGAATTGTTCCATTTGTATAACATTTTTAAAATGTCAAATTTATAGAAATGGTGACTAGATTACTGGTGGGATGTGTGTTAAGTGTGGAAGAGGAGTGGGAATGTCTGTAAAAGGACAACAGGAAGGATCCTTATGGTAGTGGGACTGGTCTGTATCTGAAATATAGTTGTTATCTCAGACCACTTTTTGGAACCTGGATATAGATGTACTGGATCTCTATATAATTTCTTACAGCCACATTTAAATTGAGTCTCTCAAAATTAAGAGATTTAAAAAATCTTTCACAAAGAGAAGAACAGCATGCATTTGGGATGGTTAAATTAACAGATTATGAAGCCCAATATTTAATTAATAGTCATTTTAGAAAGAGGAAAAATAAAACAGAGAAGGAAATTATCAAAAACAAGCATTCTAAGCAAACACTGCTGGAACAAATAAACATCCACATGTGAAAAAGAATGTAGACAAAGGTCATCTACTTTCATAAAAATTAGCTCAAAGTGGATCATATACCTGCATGCAAGATGCAAAGCTTTACAACTTCTAGAAGGTAATATAAGAGAACATCTACATTATCTTAGGTTAGAAGATGAATTTTCAGACTCAACACCAAAAGCATGAGCCATGAAAGGAAACTTGATAAATTCACCTCCATTAAAACTTCTGGTCTGTGAAAGACGCCATCCTGAAAATGCAAAGACAATCCATGCACTCGGAGGAAATATTCGCAAAACATGCCTGGTGAAAGATTCGTATCCATAATAGACGAAGTCTTACAGCGCAACAGCGAAGAAACAAACCAATTAAGCAATAAAAATCTATGAACAGGTATTTCACTAAAGAAACTATGAAAGATGGCAGATTTTATAAAAAAAAAAAAACACTGTAAAAGATGATGTGAAAATATGTGAACATTTTACTTTTGGTATTTGCTGTATAGTTGACAACAGAAGACACACTGCCCTCTTCTGTGCCATCTCAGTGACCCTTAAAAAGAAAAACAAAAACAAACCCAACACACAAAGAAACTTCAGGGCCATTGTCATTGAGTTGTTTGCTCTCATAGTGACCCTCAATCAGATTTCTGAGGCTATAATCTGTTAACAGAGACTACTTACTACTTATCATTTTCCTGAGAGGTGTGTTGGTGGATTTGAACCTTTGGATTAGCAGCTCAGCATGCTACAGACCACACTTCCAGAGCTCCTAAATGATCATTGATAACCAGAAAGTGTCCTGTTGAAATAATTTCTGCATCCCTGACAGCTGTCCACCATGTGTCTCTCCTGATATTATAAATACTAGTGGTATAGCTTTCAGGGTCATATCAACATGGGAGTCATATGTCATTAAAGAAAAACCAAAATGAAGCCTATTGCAGTCAACTGAGTTCCAGAGAATACTTTCCTTGTAGTGTTGGTGCCAAGGCTATAAAATGTTAGTGGAAGCCGATTGCCACATCTGCTCCTGGCTTGTAGGTTTGAAGCACTGATCTTTTGGTTAGTAGCCAAATGCGTAACCACTGTGCCACCAAGGCTCCTCATGCCATTAGGCAATTGCCAGTTACGACAGTAATGAAGGATCACTGCTTACATGTTAAAGTAACTAAAATAAAAACCACAGGATAAGGCTGTAGCACAGTAGCATTGTTCCTGCATCGCACACAGGCACTTGGCGGGATCATCTGGCTGTTTCTCACAAAACAAAGCAAAGCATGAGCTCACATCTCAAAGCTCTTGGAAACTCTTGCACACAACTGTTCATACTGCTTTTATTCATAATTACCAAAAATTGAAAGCAGTGAAAATGTCTTTGAGTAGGTAAATGTGTAAGCAAACTGTGGGATATCTGTACCCAAAACCCCTTCCTATAATCTGTTCCAGCTCAGTGACTCTGTAGGACAAAGTAGAAGTGTCACCAGAGTTTCCTAGACTGTAACCAACCTCATTGGGAGGAAGTTACCAGGTCTTTTCTCCCATGGAAAAGCTGATCAGTCCAGCTGCCAATCTTTGAGTGAGCAACCAAGTATTTTGCCATTGCACTACCGGGATTCTTTGAACCAAAACTAGTAGTCATGATAGATGGGGCATACACTTTTTGATTTTCTTAAAATTCTTTTCGGTATGTTTCTTTTTTTATTTTTTTAAAGCTATGGCTATGCATTTGATTAATAAAAAGGGTTTTTTTCCCTTTATTTAAAAAGTACGTGGGCAACCATCTAAAATATACCCAATGAGTTGTTTTGTTTTGATCCAGGAGCCAAGGAGAGTGAAGGAAATAAAAAACTCAAAGGAGAAACTAGTCCACAGAATTATAGTCCTCACAAACCACCATCTCTCCTTGCCCGAGACCAGAAGAATCAGATGGTGGCTGGCGCCTACCATCAACCATTCTGACTAAAGACATTAAAGAGGTCCTCGGAGGAAAACATAGACTAAAACTTGCATTCTTAAAACAAGCCATGCTTTCTGGGAACATAGAGACAGGAGACATTGTCAGATACTTTCTAAACTTAAACTGAAGATACTCTGGAGTCTCCTGTCAGCCAAATAATAGATTATCTTTTACAAGAACAAAAAAAAAAAAAGAACCACTAATACCAATAAAGAATGTGTCACTTAAAATAGTCAACTATTTGAGATCAAATAATTAAAATTTATCAAAAGCATTAATATTAGGAGTAGAAAACAAGATAAAAGGAAACAGTCCAAACGATGGAAATAATGAAAATGCTGACAAATTGTGAGAACTGGAACCACCAAACAATTTGTATAAAAAAATTGATGAATGAGAACTCAATTTGTTTTGTAAACTTTGACATAAAACACATCATTTTATTAAAAATGACAGAAAAAGGTGTTATTCCATAGAAGAGAAATATACTAGTCAAGTTTCAGAGAACAGAGAAGTATTTGTTTACAATTAATTGATCTAGTAATTAACCTAGGCATCATTTACTTGTTCCAGTAAATGCACATCAGTGGTGGACTCTGACTTGCCCAGAAGCTTTACTGTCCATGTTGTTGTGTACTGTTGAGTCTGAATCAACTCATAGTTGACATTCCAGTGGGTTTTCAGAGGCAGTAAAAAGGGTGTGAGGCAGAGCATCTGGTGGATTCAAACCCCATGCCTTGGAGTTGGCAGCTGAACTCCTTACCACTTAGCCATGAGGTTGAGAAATGTTCTCATCAAAGTAATAGTCATATCCTTTTATTATGAAGATTTTTTTTATTCCCAGATCATAGTACCACAGGTTCTGACATGGGTGTTACATCAGTATCAGCTGTTTACTGTTCTACAACAAGCTATGGTAAAGGTACACTTGAGGTACTCTCCCATCTAGCCTTTTGTATCTACATCTGAAAATTGTGTATCATACTACTGCGTCAGATTTACTGGAGATCCTGATAAATGAGGGAGCTCGGGTGGCCTAGTGGTAAGGCACCGTACTGCTAAACCAAAGGCATTTGGTTAAAATCCATCTACTGCTTTAAAGAGAACGAAGGACAGTCTCATCAAGTGCACTTGACTGTCTCTGAAAACTTACTAGGGAGGGGGTCACCTATGAGTTAGCTCCACCACGACAGCATAGAACATTATAAATGACTGATGTCTAAAGAGTCCTTGATGTACACGGTGTATTGGTTTTGAAATAATAGTAGTCAAGTTTACAACAATAATTGTAATATTAGTGTGAATCCCTGTGATTATGGACTTTTAATTGTTAGTTGCTCACAATGTATATCCTTTTCCTAGGCCTTGATGTTTACAAATAATTTTCATTCATAATATTGCTAGATGAGTTTGCCAATAGCTAGGATAAGTATCAAGAAACCCCTGGGCTGAAGAAGTTCTGTGAGATGGGTGGGCCTACTAGACAGGGAGGGCATGGTGGTGGAGTTGGTGTGAGGCTTCAACTATAGTGTGACATCTGTTTATTTCATGCTGTTATTGAACTTGTCCTCAGACAAAATAACTGTGGGAGGTTGGAGGAACAGTACAAGAGAGGAAGACCCTCGATGAGATGGATTGATTCAGTGACTGGGGTAATGGGAGTAGGTGTGTTGGAAACAGTGAAGTTGGCACAGGATAGGGCCGAGTTTAGCGCTGTTGTATATAGGGTCGCGATGAGTCACAGGCAACTCGACGGCACATAACAACAACCACCTTCATAAGTACCTTCAGCTAATGGTCCAGAATTCACATCAAGAGCTTTTGTGTGTTTGTTCACAGAACCATAAGAGCCAGATGGTACAAAGTTGTAGAGATGAAGCATTGTTTAAAAACTCCAGCAACCAAAAGGTCACAATTCGTTGTAATGAAGCTATAATTAAGTGGTGGTAAATGATAGCATTTGTACATTTTGTAACCAGAATTGATTCATAAAATGAATACTGTCCTAGCAGTTTATGTTAACATAATTAAATGGAAATGTAATTCTAACTCAGTTTGCTTATTAAATTGAAAATTACTGGGTTATGAGCACTCTCTAACATTTCTGTTAAAATTTGGTGTAAGTCTAAAATTACATGAAATATCCATTAAAGTCAGGTGTATTTAAGGCTCTGTTGCTAGTAAAGAATAAATTCCTGAAAGACTTACAGATTGGTCATGTGATAGCATACCTCTTAGTTAGGCTTTTGCTAACCCCTGATCTCTTTCCTCTGCAGCCATTGGTTTAGCCCTGGGGCTAGGACAGAGCATGGCCAGGTAAGAAACATTCTGTCTGAAAGGAAGTTACTCAGGCTCTTTCAAATATTTAACTGTCCCCCCTCAGGGTAGCAGCTCAGCTTTTAAGAGGAAGGATATAAATCCCCAGCTTATTTTAAAAGGAGTTAATTGTGCCAGTGCTTAATACACTGATTAAACGAAAGAACAGTCTTGATAAGCATCAGCATTCTCTTTTACTGCTACCTTCCTCAGGCTGGCATCTGACCTCCTTGAGAATGCTCTGGAACATGCTTGTTGGTCAGGCGTCAGTGCTTCCATTGCTTGTTAAAAAAGGTAAGGTATCAAAGCAGTACACAGGCTTAAGAAATTGATTTGTAGTAGCTGTAAGACCCACCAATAAGAGATTTTGTTAGACTGTTAGAAAGTGGCATTTTTTTTTCTTGGAAGATTGTTGGGTTTTGGTGGTTTTGCTTGTGTATATGTGGTGATTTTTTTAAAAAAAATGCTTTACTAATATGTATGGCAACACAATGATTAGTTTGCTTAGCAAGACCTGAGTGCTCATTTCCATTAACTTTACATGTAAAAATAAGAATCTTTTTTTTTTTTTAAGAATCTCTCTTTTTTTTAATCCCCTAAATAAACTCATTCCCTCCTGAACATGATAAGGTAACTTTGGACTTCATTTTGCGAGAAGTTGTAAAGCATATCTATTTGGCATAATTTTGTATTTTTTTCATTATTGATACAAAAGTTATTTGATGTGATTAATAATTATAAGAATAAAAATAAAAGTTCATCTTTACAATTCATGAGAATGATAAACTCTAGATCCAAAGAGTTTGCTCTCTCAGTGGTAGAGGAAGAAATGCATATGGATGAAGCTGTTGTCAGGAATGGGAATTGGTTCCATTATAATATTGTTGTTGTTGACCGTAGAGTCAGAACCATCCTATAGCTGACGCTCCAGTAAGTTTTCAAAGGCAGTAAGTTGCTCAGGACTTGATTGCCCATCTTTCTGCCACAGATCAGCTGGTGGATTCAAACCAGGTACCTTTGTATTGGCAGCACAATTCCTTGCCACTCAACCCCATTATTGGTGATGCTTTCTTCCTTAGGCTGGATGGAACAGGCACAGATGCTTGCCTGTACATGTCATCTCACTGTCCTCAAGTCTAGTCTGACTTATAGGAACCCTTCATCCAGTTTCCAAGGCTATAAATCTTTGCAGGAGACTGACTGCTTGAAGAGCCACTGATGGATTCTCACTGCTGACCTTTTGGTCCGCAGCACATCACATAGCCTATTAGTCTACCAGGACTTCTTTATGCATACCTCAGGTGGTTACCAAAGGACCGAGTACTTCTGTATAAATCACCTTTTTTAACACTCATGATGATAATAGAAGAAAAATACCATATCTTATAACTTTAGTAATTTTAAAGGAGTAAACTTGCCTTTTGCGGTGATAATGATTTGCCTCTACAAAGATGCTTCTCATATTAATAATGGACAATGAACTGCTATTTCTATACATTTGTAAAGAAGGCAGAGAGAAATTACATATATGTTTTTGATATGAATTTATATGAAATTACATGATGTTTCCGATTTATTATCTAGAATATAAAATTCAGAATTTCTCTTTTCCTATCTGATTCATACCTTGTGTATAATGCTGAACTGTAATAGTTGTGATAAGATTCCACTCCTTAGTAGCACAGTAACATTAGGATATAGTTTATCTACAAATACTGTTTTCATAAGGCTCATTTTTCTACCCATCAGAATTTAGGAAATACTGAATAATGTTATAAATTGGTGATTTTAAGACAAAGTTTTTTCTGCGGCTAAAGGTCAACTAACAGCTAATAACTTACTTCAGAAGAGACCTGGTAGCACAATGGTTGAAGCACAGGCTGCAGTAGAAGACTTCATGGTTTGAACTCACCAGTCACCTTGCTGGAGAAAGATAGGGCAGGCTGTTTGTACACAGATTTCAGCCTTGGAAACCCTATGGGGCAGTGCCACTCTGTCCTGTTGACTTGGCAGCAATGGGTTTGGTTTTATTGTTTTGTAGTCTTCAAACTCTAATATGTCATTTCTAATTTTTGCTTTGGCCAAATAAGTTCTTAGTTATTAAATGCAAAAATATAGATGTACATAAAAATATACATATACAGATTGTTATATTATGAAGGATGATCATTTCTCAGTTCAACTTAGACCTACTGTTGACAGTAATTATAAGGTAGTAAAGTATTGGTTAAACCTATGTGTAAGTGATAGAATTCAAGACAATGACAAAGTAGAAACACCTAGGATTGCTGAATGAATACCAGTCGTAGTCATGATTTCTTATCCCAACTTACTAACATAGAAGAATGGTAATATTAACAATGCAAACTTCTTCCTCTTTATTTTGTCCTCTAGTAATAAACCATCTTTCCATTCTATGCAGAATGACCATTCCTTTATTATACATTTATTAATAATTTGCTTTCAATTATTTTCTGTCAGATACTGTTAGATATTAAATATATTTGTATAAGACAACATAGCTTTCTCCTCATGTTGGTTTAGTCTCTGATGGGAAACCAGTAATTACAATATATTGGTAAATGTTTGAGAAAACCTTACAGAGGGCACTTGGGAATGCACAGAGTAGAAATGCCAAATGCCAGAGTGTGAGAGGTGGAAGAGAGGAAGGACAGGCAACTAAATGATGCATCTTATTTTTATCCCCTGATATTTTTAATTCTATAGCTTTGCTTACTTGAACATCCTACGGTTTGACACTTTGTCAGAATGTACAGACATCTTAATGAGTGATATAGTTGATTACATAGATTTCTCTGTTCTCTGTTGAAGTTTGAAGGCACTGAGACGCAATGTGAAGAAACTTAAAATCATTTTGTAGAAATCAGAGGAGAAACCGAAAAACTGGCTGCCTCTGGGCATACTTGTGAGCTGGAATGCTTTAGAGACATAGGTAGTGTCGAAAGAGCAGAAAATGTGACATGGGGACATAGGACCACAAACATCTCTCTGAAAGGGCCAGAAAGAGTGAGAATAACACAGCTCATCACTGCCTCAGAGCAGAACACAGATCAGGAGCCCATAGTGCCTGTAGAGCTCCACCAACCGCAAGAGGTTCTGTCATTCATTACTGACTCATAGAGTCCCAACAATGGGGTTTATTTGGGAAGGAAGTTAGAAAGTGGAGGAGACAAAGAATATCACAGTATCACCCCAAATAACTCCAGTTATTAGCCCAACAGTTCCGAGGCACAACTCCTCAGTTAGTCCAGGTTCCGGTTTTAATTCAGCAAGCAGCTTTTCCTTCCATCATCAAAGGCAAGCCCAGCAAAATCCAGCTGCGTCCAGTACAAATACACGAAGTCTCAGGTCACACCTTGCCACAATTTCTCCACATCAGAGCCAGTCTCTGCACCTCCAGGATCTTGCCACCACAAGCCTTCCTCCCCTCAAGTCTTACTGCCCAGTGTGAAAAGCACTCCTCACTCCTTATATTGCTGCTTCAGCTGTTGCTAACTAGCAAGACCCTGCTGATTCGCAAGACCATGTGTCTGCAGTTAAGGTAGCTGGAGACCAGAGGAACTAACTTAGAATGGCTAAAAAAAGCCAACTTTTGGCCGACAGCATAGGTAGTGAAGAGGAGATTGCTACAGAGTAAGAGCTCTGCTCTTTACTTCTTCTTATGTTTGAGACTTGGACCTGCAATAAATGTTTAAAGAATATCATCAATCCCCATAGAGATTTTTAACCTTTTCTTGAAAAGTAAAAAATCTATTCACAAAGAATGCCTCCCTTCCTCTAAGTCAACTCGGTATATCTTTTTTTTTTTTTTTAATCATTGTCTACTTTTTATAGTAGATAAAAACAATAGACATCACTTCCAGGAGGCTTTCTGTTAGTAGATTTGCACCATATTCAGAAGTTCTGTTTTTTCATTAGACTTCACGTTTGAAGCCTTAGGAAGTGACTTCACTTGTGACACTGGTAGTATCTCAAGAAAACCAGAAAGTTATCTCTAAGAAGAGCTTCTCAAAACCTAATGAACCACTGCTTCTCTTTGGAGTAAGGTGCAAGGAGAAATGACCCCAGTGTCTTTTTTGTTTCCCCCTCCTTTCATGTTTTGGAGCACAGTAGATGTGTTTTGGCAATCTTTTAAATATAAACCTATTTTCAGGACAGCAAGTAATAAATGTTTGAAAGGATGTGCTGAGATAGGAACTTTTATATATGTTGGTGAGATTGTAAACCAATATAACTGCTCTGGAAGGCAGTTTGGTGTTTCCTCAAAATGCTGAGCATAGAAATTCCACTTGACCCAACTGTTCCACTGCTTGGAATATACCCTAAGAAAATGAGAACTGAGACACAGAGACTTGTACACCAGTGTTCGTAGCAGCATTATTCACCATCACAAGAACATGGAAGCAGCCCAGATGTCCAACTATAATCGAATGTTGTTGTTGTTGTGATTGTTGTTATGTACCATCGAGTCTTTTGCGACTCTTAGGGACCCTATGTACAAGAGCCCTAAACGCCATTCTATCCTGTGCCAACCTTGCTGTCTCAAACACATTAATTTC